GCGGGGAAGGGCTGGCCCCCGGCTCCCCGCAGAGCCAGCCTCCCCTTCTAGCAGCGCTCCTGGGCTTTCATGAGTATTACCAGTAACTAAGTGTGTACACATTAAAAAATAAAAATGCTATCATTATAACGTCAAGCAGGAGTTGGCACAGTAGGGATAGATAAAAACGAGCGCTGAGATGAACAATGAGGGTAAATATTCATCAAGAAGCGCAGGATGAAGCCGTGGGGCTCCCATTAAAGCTAATGGGAGTTATGGTGCTAAATCACATTTAATATTTACCCCCAATGTGTCGAGGCAGAGAGCAGACAGAGCGACGTATGCTACAAATGCCACCTAATGCAGATATGATATGGTACATTAAGAGAGTGGGTCATCTCTGGGCAAACAGCCACTCTCCTGGGCCGGGGATGGGATATACGGTTGTACAGATGATTTACTAGTGTCTGGCCGGAGAGAGAGCAAACAAGCAGGGGTTTGTAGCCATGTCGGCCCAGCGACTCGTCCAGCCGCCGAAACGGGCCGGGAAACGTTCCCGCGCCTATGTATGTTTGCTGTCCCTCGTGGGGTTTTAGGCCATTCCCTTCGGCATGCGCATCGGTTACGAACGCAGGGGGGCTGCACCGCAGTTGCACGCTCAGAAAAAGAAGCGGCGAGTGCAAGCCCCAGCACGCTGGGCACGCTGGGGCGTGCGGGGTGCTTCTGCCGGGCCGCCGCGCCGGCACGCAGATGTTCTGCTGTGTTTAACTGTTGTGCCTGACATTGGCTCCTAGTGTTGGATTCATAAAAGAAGAACGAGGGCGTAGTAAAAGTTTGCACCGGAAGTAGCAGAGGCGATAAAACACAAGACTTCTTTTTGCTGCTGTCACATAAATCCAGTGCTAAAATATGATTTAAACAGTTGAAAATCCTATTGACTGAAATTAACTTCAGCTGAAGGACGTTTGATTTAAGAGATTCCTCTTTTCATTTTCAGATACATTATCCCATTTTAAATTATGGTTTTTATTACAAAAGCTTATTTTTACATTCATTGTAATTCTAATTGACTTTTTTTTTTATCTTCAAGAGCTGCAAAGCACTATATCAGTGATGAAAAGTGTAAGTTGTGATGAGCAGAGTTTTTCAGCTACATCCTTTTACTATTTTGCCTTCTTTATATCTAGTTTCTGCAGTGACCTCTGAACAATAGCCTGGAAAAAGGCAAATGTGATTTTTTGCTTTATATGTCCATTTTAGAGTCAGCAGGGCAAAGTTTGATGGCTTTAAACGGAAGAAGAAGCAAGGAGACAGATGTAAGATTGCTCGGATGAAGGAAGTTTCTGTCTTTACCTTTGCTCAAAGTTTTTTTTTCTTCCTCGTACCTCACGTATTAGCCGCATGAATAGCACATTTAGGAGAAGAGCAATGCAATAAAAAATTGTGACGGGTGAAGACAATAGATTTGAAGAAAAACTACATGCAGAGTGAAAATGGGTCTAACAGCAGTAATAGCACTTCCCATTCTGCGGAGTGAATAAAGGAAGGAGAATGCACTACATCCGCTATTGACACTTTGAAGGTCTTTTTTTTCAAGGTAGCTGTAAAGGCGTTAATGGCACAGTTATTTCCACAAGTGCATGAAAAAAGTAGCATTTGAAAAAAAAAGAAAGAAAAAAATAAACCCCGGTAACCATTATAACATTGTCTTTGTGGGCTAGGCGGGTATCTTGTTGTGAGAGACTTGAAAAGCAAAGACAAGAAAAGGACTTCAGTAGTCAGCTAAATAGCTGAGGTTTTATATTGCAGATAAGAGTTACATTTTCTTTCCTTGTCTTTTTTTCCCTCACTTGAGTAGATCTGGGATAAGCATTAAAGAAATGCTGAACTATCCAAAAACAACTCTGTTAGCGAGCAGCCAGGGATGGCAGCCAGTTGGCACTCAATGGCAGTAATTAGCTGTCCAGTCCTCTTCCCTTCACTCCAGTAAATCCTGACTGGGGATGAACACTTGGGAGCTGGGAGCCGTGACCCACCAGCCGGCGCAGCTGGCCGGGCCCCTCCGGAGGCCCCTTCGGCTCTGCGCGGCCCAGAGTTTGTCTCTTCCCCCCACTCAGTAAAGCAATGCTGAGGGTCCGTGAGTAGGCAAAAGGAAAGAAAATCCCAGAAAACCGTGAGATGGTGGGAAATCAGCAGCTCCTCGTTTTCCTTCTGCAGCTAAGACATACAAAGAGAGTTTGAGGGCTGCATCTCACCGGAGTTGGTTGTGGTGGCTCTGCTGGTCCGATGTGGCTCACTGAGATGAGAGGGAGTGTTAGAGGGTGAAGGCAGTGAAATGAAGCTGGATTCCCATCTCCGCTGGGCATCCATCTCTCGCTCCTCCCGCAGATTGCCGCCCTTGCGGCCGGGAGAGCGCTGATCTGCCCAGCTTCACGGGGGGCTTGCACAGAAAAAGGAGGAGGGAGCAGACGCCAGGAGGTGTGTCTGCATCGGCCACCCAAGCTTCCTCTCATTCTTGCCTGACTGCATTTTATGCAGCTACTGAGTAGGAGAACGAAAACTAGCATATTAACAGGTTTCTTGAAGAAGACAAGGTCTGCTTGCCTTTGCGTTAGTGGAGAGACGCTCGCATTCCCAGCGCGGCTACCAGGTGTCACCCGAGCAAGGCGTAGGGAGCGCGCAGCCCCGGGGACAGGGCCCTTGACGAACGAGGGTGTGGAGCTGGGAGCCCGCGTTCCCCTTGGGTAAAGTTGAGTGCGGGAAACTTTCAGTTGACCTGTCGCTGTTACTGTGCTGCGAGGGGTCAGCCGGGGCCTGGCGTGTAGATGCCGATGCCCACAGAAGTTTGTTGCCTGTCACCGGCGTCGCCCTCCCTTGCCTGCAGAGCTCGGGCTGCTCCCTGAAAGGGTTTCAGATGATCTGAGATCTGCTTTGCAAGTGAATGGCCAAATGCATGTGCTGCTGTCTTGCATATGCCTCCCTCACTTACCAAGAAAGAACAGGAGTGAGTCCAAAGCGGGTTAGGTGACCTACTGTTCCCCAGCCTCCCCAAACCAGGCTTCCTTCCCGCGCTGCAGACAGCTAAGCAGATGATTGCCATGGGCTCGCGAGTGGCACGGACAGCGCTGTGTCGTGCTGGCGAAGCGTCCGTGCGCCCAGCGGTGGTGTGCGCTGGTCCGTGTCTGCTACTGAGCAACTCTGCGCTCTCTTTCCGCTCCCTTCTTCTTACGCCCCTCGTAGGAATTCAAGATTTAGATCAAACGCTTTTGAGAAAACTTCTGGTTCTGCGCTTACTGTTGGCTTTGCCTTTGATTGCGCGTTTTACTTCTGGTACACATCAGCTCAGTCAAAGTTCGTGATGGATCTTAAAGACCTGTTTGTAGCGGAGGCTTGTCATCCTGTTTGCAGTCTGCACTGATCTCCCCCTTAGAAATTAGAACATGCAATAGGATAAAATTTTATTCCTCCAAGTAGCAGCCAGTGAAGTGTTTTCCCCAAACGCACTGTGGTCTGCAATCTGTGCTAAAAGGTACGCGACACGCGGTTTCTTCCACGTTTGTGTAGCCGAAACGCGCACGCTGACACGGGCAGGCGTTTCTCAAGCCTGGCAGATGATTTCAACATCACTAACCTCTCACAGCAGCCTAAGGTTTGCCGTCATGAAAGGGGACGATGTCCCCAAAAGCGGCGTTTGCGTCCCCTCCGCGTGGTTGTTCAGGTCCGGCCGTGGCGCTCGGCCGGCGGCCCTGTCGGCAGGGGGAGAGGGGCGGTGAGAAGCTGGCCCTTGCGACCCGGCTTCGCCGGACGCGCCGCGAGCCCCGGGCTGACGCCGCTTGCTCTCCGCCGCAGCCATGGGCCTGCTCTTC